TGACGGAAGTAGTCTTTAATAAGATTTTGAGATTTTTGACTTTATGAACCAAAAGCCTATTATACGAAAACACCACTTCCGAGTTTTTCGTCAGATATGCTTTTGTGTCAAAGAAAAATCAGTTTTACAACATATATTAACAAAGTTGTTTCCTACAGAGCCTAGCTTTAATTATTATTAGTAATAATAGGAGTTAAAAAGTTGGCTGAGCGGTGTTCCTGCTTCTTCTTCTGAAGTTCCCGGTTCAAGCCTGACTGAGTTTTTTATTTTATTATTTTAAAATTAATGAAAAGGAATGTTTTATTGTACTTTTCATTACAAAATATACTAATATAATAACAGAGTTTACTAGGTGTCACAGGCAGTGGCGGCTCTAGGATATATTTTCTGGGGGTGGGGGCTAAGTTGTCCGACAGGGGGTTGAGATCGTAGGCGCGAGCTGGGGGAAGGGGATGAGAGGGGGTTCCCCTCCCAAATGAGATATTTTTTAAGAATAGCAACCTCTGGTTGTCCCAATAAAGGACTCTACCTAATGGCAATGCATATGTGCAAAGGACAAGACTGTGCTATGTTATTTATTTTTTAGCCTAATGACACCTGTGTGACCTTTAACCCTAAGCGGTGAACACCCCATGTATAGAAGGTATCATACTGTACTGTCCAAGTTTGATTGAAATCGACCTAACCGTTTGCCACTAGTAGCGTTTTAAAATGTTATTGAAATTTGACCCCTAATCCCTGAACATCTTATAGACCATATTTTTATGTGGATTATTTTGAAACAGCACCACCAACGTCTCACAATTCACTGGGGGAACTTCCAATGGCCTAGAATGAGTGAGCAGCTGGCTGGTTACAAATGAGCACCGCGCAGCGGATCGCGCCGCCAGACCTTGCTATAGCAGCAGTAGATAACATTACGATCATGCTAATTACTGTACATGTAAACATTGAAATAGCCTTTTAAGACTTAGACCTGTTTTTAGTATAAACATTTTGTTCTTTCTTCGTTTTGAAATAATCGTGCTCATTAATAATTTAGCTTTATCGTTTAATTATTTCATGATTGTAAACTACATAGAGTGAAATGATAGGCCTCTGGAAGTCCGCCCCCCCCCCCCCCCCCCCAAATAAGAATTAAACAACTAATCAATGTGTTCCAAGCAGAGCACGGATAGAGGCATTGTTTGCAGAAAACGGATCGAGATTTGAAACGTTCGGTTCTACATGAAAGTGGTAAGAAGGCAGATTGTCGGTGATTCCTAAGCGAGATAGAAGTATGACGTCGAGGCGGGAGGAAATCTGTGAGAATGTGATCGTAAGATTGAACAATTCGACAAAATATACATAGAGTGAAATATTTAAATTTTTTGCCGTACGTTGTGATACCATATTGAGCAAATAGTTGTGCATATGAAGAATATGAAGAGTGATCTGATAAAAGTTTACTGAAAAGATATTCAATACGTTTCAAATACGCACGTTCACATTCATGTAGGTTGCCATAAATATGCCATCACTGATTGGACATGGAATTTATATAAGAAAACGAGAAATGTTTGGTCAAGTGAATGCTTTAGATATTTCATCACAGAAAGTTTGCGGACACATGATTTATATATATTAATAAGTTGTGAATGCCACTTTAGATTGTTTGAGATTTTAATACCTAAATATTTAAGTTCTTGGACTATGTCAATCAGCGACCGGCAGAGAGTAATTGGGGAAAAGGCTGGATTGCATTTTTTGAAAGTGTATGTTCATTATTGTGCATTTAGATGGTGCGAAGAGAAGTCCATTGCGTCGGGACCAATGTCCAAGATCATTCGCAAATTGGATGGCAAAGGGTAAGGAGGCAGTCTTTAAACGAACAAACAATAACCAGGTCACCTGCGTATAAAGAGAAAGGACAATTAATCATATCAACAATATCATTGATGAAACAAAAGAAAAGGATAGGACCAAGTTTGCTGCCCTGTAACCCCGCTGCTGATAGGAAGTTTGGTAGGGGTTATTCCTTGAAAAGAAGTTTGCTGAGTTCGAAAATGAAGCCAATTATAAATCCAATCGACAAGTGTATGTGGGAGTCGAAATGAATGAGATAATCATGGACCTATTAATATAGGTCCATGAGATAATTTAAAATTGTAAAGAGATGAGGTACCGAGTCAAAAGCACGACGGATATCGAGTGAAAGAAGTCGAGAGGTGAGTCGATCTTCGGCAGATTTACACAAAATATGTGTGATATAATATACTGAATCAAGTGTAGATTTTCCAGGTCGAAATCCACATTGAAATTTACAAGGCCGGCTTTTCTCAATTTGATCATAGATGCGAGATGAAATGATTCCTTCAAGTAGATTACAGAAGGGTGATGTAATAGAGACCGGACGGTAGTTATGAAAATTCGATTTCGAAGCTGAGGTCTTATGAAGAGGGTGAATGATAGCATTTTTCGAATCAGGAGAGATAGAACAATGATTGAGAGATAACTTTAAAATTATTTTGCTTAAAAAATTACCACAGATTGGAGAAACGATTTTAATAATAAAGTTACTTTAACCGTCAGGGCCAGGAGATTTTGAATTGCTCATTTTATTCGTGGCCATTTTGATTTCTTCTGTGCTAACAGGTGGACAATCATGAATAGGAGGAGGGATGCAAGAATCTGGTACAATAAACGTATCGTCACTGGAGCACTGTTTAGCAAAAACAGAGTTGAATTGACAGGCAATTTCGTAAGGGTCATTGAAAATTGTACCGTCTGGAGTGGTAAAAGTGTTATGGGACCTATTGTTGGTAGGAAGGATTTTTTTTTAAATTTCAGACCACCAATTAGTAGATCCGTGCTTTAAGTTTCCAGTAACATTATTATTATATTTTCTTTTTGCTCTACGAATCTGTGAATGTAACCAACCCTTCAAAACCAAAAATAGGTCCCTGTCGTTGAACCAGGCCCATTGTCTAAATAATATTAACTTTTTAAGGCCAGGACTTAACCACATCATTAATGTGTTTCCTTACATTACGATAACCTAAACATGAATTAAGCAAAGATTTAATGTATTCAATGAAATGTTCATAAACTTCAGTAAGTGGATGAAGAGTCAATAATCGAAATAAGTCCAGTCCGTATCATTAAGTTTGTTTTTAAGCATCCCAATAGATGCCGAATCAGTTCGTAATATTCTAGCTTTGATATTATGCAAGCACCTGTTGATTCGTTGTTCCAGTGGGATATCAAAAGACACCGCCTTGTGATCACAGCCACTTAACCAATTGTATACATGTAGGTTGCTTACGTCGTTGCTGCGGCTATTTATCCAATGTATTACTTTCCCTTGTCGATTTAGTGATGAACTGCTCAAAATGTTTAGTAGTTTGGAAAAATCAAAGATTTTCGGAACGACAGTCGTTAAAATCGCCACAATCAGTTGCTTCCGTGTTGTATACCAAGTAGTTTCTTGTAACCGATCGTAACATGCTTGAATGCACGCACCAGGTGGTCTATATAGTACACTAAGAATATGAATGATTTCCTTATTTATGATCAATTTGGTAATTCAACATTTTGATCACAATATTAAGATTCACTCACTGAACAGATTCACTCACTGAACAGGATACATTTTTTGTCCAGTAAACAAGTAAGCCACCTCCTCAGGAATAATCCCTGAAGGAAGTTCATACACTGAACCGTCGTCGAATTGATTCAGCCATGTTTCCGTAAAAATTAAAAGATCCGGAGATTTTCCTGATGCTAATAACTGTATTTTATCTATTTTGTTACGAATGCTGCGAAGGTTTTGAAGGACGCAATATAGCTTACTCACATTTCCGGTGCATCTTTTGTGACTTTTCCCACCACGACGAACCCGCTTTCTTGGCTTCATTCCAAATGAGTGTCTTAATTGACGATCATCAGTGTTTCTTAAATCTGCTTATATTATTGTTTAGCTTAGCAGCATGGTACCAGTAGGCCTACACATATTATAGCCCTATAATATCTATTAATATCAATAAATTTAAGAACATTAATATCTATTAATATCAATAAATAAATAATATCAATAATCAAATAATAAATATATATATATACATATTGCCCTGGTTCTATTTCTGGCTGTTTACTTACGTTTACTTTTTAGCGGTTGCTTATCATTTTTGTATCTCTACTGAGATCCAGCCATTGTTTCCCACAGCATTGTTGTTTTCCAGTATTTTGCCTTTTAATCTATATATATATATATATACAGCAAGAAATCAAAACATGTCATGTGTTCAATAATTTTAAACCTTAAATATATATTGGTCAACAGGGGATTACAATTAGAAAATTGTTATTAAAAATAGGAAACTTAACTAAAGAGGACTGTGTTATGTCGGAGGCATCTCGGTTGTAGCGTCCATCGCTAGAATAGAAGAAGTTTCTGTTTTTGTTATCTGCCAACTAAGTTTGCTGTGATTAGATTTAAAATCTTCAATTAGGCATCAAATCATTAATCTTACACCAATACATACCGGTAATTTTAAGTAAGGGAAACTGTTTATGGTACTTTACCTATAATACATTTGTACTAACAGGACTGTTCCCTGGTACTAATAAAGTATCTCCGTTCAATGAATGCTTTAGTATTAATTATATTGGATCCGATTAATCTAAGAACATTTGACTTATCACGAGGGTTTGTGATTTTGAATCACAAACCTTTCAACAATAACCGACTAAAAAGAAAACTATTGGCCAGACGGTTTCTCCCCGGTTGTCAAAAAGTAATGCCATCTCCAGCCTCTCCAAGACAAGTAACTGGAGGTCGCATCTTTCCATTTTTTTTATCATCAGTAAGCCTACCGGTATTTTCCAATTAGCGCTTAACTCTGAAGAAATGTCTTAACAGGTTAATCTTACAGTAAACTGTCATGAACCAGCCTGATTTCCAGTAACTTACTTGGACAGAAGTCAAAACAATATTTTTGTTTCTCTTAAAAGGAACTTACATCTTTCGTAATGGTCGTATGGATTTCCGTCATAATTGGTCTTTAAGCCGCCAACCATATCCTTATCTTTATTGCTTAAATCACATTTCTGAGTGTACTTGTAATAGTCAAAAGATCGGCAGGTAAACGAAATTTCATTGTTACAACGAGTTGCACAATCCTCAGGGGAGACGTCTGTTAGGTGGATTATATTGTGCCCAGCGATGGCTGCGTTAGGATAGGTGTTGTAATGTGGTACTACGTAACCTGAAATATCGAAAATCATGATATGTTATCTAAAGTAAAAAGAAGAACAAGAGAGACTGAACATTTGCTGTCGTCAAGATAAACTGTTTGATATGAAAAAGCAGAATATAAACTCTCGGAAGCTCCCCTTTTCACAAATGATTTAACGAATCTTGATTTGATTGAAAGACGAAAATTAAAGGAGGTTATTCGACGTCATCTTTCCGCTGGCAAATGTAGAGGCAAGCAAGGGGTTTTAGCCCCTTTTTAAAATGCGTCAATACAGTATAACTGGTAAATTTATAATAGTTTAACTCAAGATACAAAGAAATGGCTTGTGGTTACTATTTTTTTAACTTCCTGTACAATAATTAACTTATCTTGCATGATGTTGTCTTTAAACCATGGTCCCGTTCATTTTGTCACTAATTAGAGACTAGGACCCTGTATTGCATGTAGTTTGAAATATTATTTTTGATATCGGTTATTAACTGTTTTTATTTAATACATTTCGATTTATTATATTCCTATGCTTTTTGGTTTAAAAAAAAAATTTATTTTTGTGTTTATTAGTAGTGTTAGGATATTTATCCTGATCCTGCACAGATGAGAGCTCCCTGGACTGTATCTTTCCAACTTCCTCTTCTTACATTTTTCTACTTCTTCTTTTCTTTTCCCGGTACAATGGGCACCTTTAGCACGTTTTCATGTGAGTTTGCAAGAAGCCCTACAATGATCCTCCTAATCTCAATCGGCAGATCCAGATGACCTTATACACCACCACCAGTACCACCACCACCACCACCACTAATTTCATCTGCTGTTTTTGGATGTCCTTATATAATTGTTTTTTTCATTAAAAAACCGCCCATTGAATTTTCCAAGTTCCCAGAAGAACCCCTGAATAGCTATATATAGCTATAGCCATAATATCGGCGCTGGTTCGAACGGACGTTCTGATGGTAGAACAAGTCTTCTCGGATAAGGACTATAAACCGTAGGCCCGGTGTATACAGTGGCTCGTGTGCACTATAAAGAACCCAGTACATCCTTTGAGTAGGGGATATCCCGGTGTAATGGAACAGACAGCCCTTGTTTGATGGACGACGAGAGTTGCTGGTACCGGGTTACCGGGTAGCACAGACACGAAGGGACCATTAGGGGCGAAGAAAGTCATTGATCGAGTTCCTAGTCCACATATCAAGCGCCCTGGGCATCTTACATTAGATGGATATGTGCGCTATATAAAACTACACTATTATTATTATTATTATATTATTGATGTTTTATATATTTGCACAAGGAAGCGCCCCCTCTGCTTTCATAAGCGCTCCGTTTAAATAAGCACCCCGTTTGAATAAGCGCCCCTCAAAAAGGTGAAAAACATATTTTAAGCGCCTGAGCGCTTATTTGCGCGAGTACGGTAACATGTCATGTGGAACCAGCTTATTAGAATAAGAGATTCAATAAACAATAATAAAAATGGATATAAAAATAATAAATAAAAAGTGTTAGAAGTGGCCACTGGTGCCCGATTTGTGGCTCGATATTGTTTGGCGGGTTTATGCACTGTCTGGATGTGTGCGCATGTGGCTTGTGGAGAAGGCGTTCGCCTGCAGATGTTAAGTTGCATTCGCGGAAGTCGAATTGCGGCTGGTCAATAATTATTAAGAAAAGGAAAACAATGATAATTAGGTTTACTATGTCTCTTTGAACAACAGAACATAGGGCTTTTTTCCATTGCTTTAATGAGAAATGAAATTGCAACAAAAAGAAAAGTCGTTAAAAGGTATAAAGTAAAAGGAAAAACACGGAAAACCAATATAATTTTAATGAAGTGGAAAAAATGAAGTGAAAAAAGAGCGAAAACCAAGTTCACTGCGACGTTATTAGTGAGACTTGAACTATGGCTGATATCATAGCCATTGCGCATCATATGAGCCGACCTTGCATAGGAAAGTGTATTTTCATAGCGATTCAATGACTGAAAGCAAAATTTTCATGCATATCACAGTAGTTTTGATTTTAACCTAGCTGTAACTGGTTTAAGCGCTTTAGGAAACGCAAATTGCGTTTAAATTATTTAATAACTGTCAACAAAAAATCTTTAAATGGTCCTCATATCCACACCCTACTGCGGATCGTACCAAAATTGGATCACTTCTTCATTTCACCATGAGAATCTATTCTGCAAAGCGTCATTTTTATCCATCTATAACTGGGACGTAAGCAATTTAAATGACCCTCAAATTTACACCCAACCTGGATTGTCCACTACACATAGTAATGTCGTCCTTGTAACTTGGGTAAACCTTTCCCGAATGTTTCATTTTTGAAATACATGGTCTGGGACGTTTTCCTTTAAATGATCCTCATATTCACACCCTACCATATCAAAAATTCAGTTAGTTTTTTTACTGGACTTTTACAAACTATTATAGAAACATCCACTTACACCCATTGAAAACTTTTTTTAGAGATATTTACGTCTGGGATCTAAAAAATTTAAATGACCCTCCAGTTTACACTCTTGATGGCTGATTCGTAGCCAACACATAATACTATCTTTCTTGTAACTTTGTTAAACTTATTTCCGAATGTTTCATTCAGATCAGTTGATCCTTTTTTGAAATATGTGGTCTGGGACGTTTTCGTTTCAAATGGTCCTCAGATCTACACCCTACTCCGAATCGTCACAAAAATGTAATCATTTCTTTACACGACCTTGACAAACTGTTATACAAGGTTTAAGTTATACCCATTGATTTTTTTAAAAAGAGGTATTTGGGTCTGGGTCTGGTCCTCAAAATTGAAAAGACCCTCAAGTTTACACTCTTGACTGATTCGTCGCCAGCAGATGATAATTTTTTCCTTGTAACTTTAACTTTTTCCGAATGTTTCATTCTGATCAGTTGATCCGTTTTCGAAATATGTGGTCTGGGACGTTTTCCTTTAAATGGTCCTCAGATCCACACCATACTGCTGATCGTCACAAAAATGTAATCATTGTTTTTACGAGACCTTTACAAAGTATTATAGAATGTTTCATTTAGACCCATGAGTTTATTTTTAAAGAGATGTTTAGGTCTGACCCTCAAATTTACACCTTCACTGGATCGTCACTAACACATACAAATTTCTTGCTTGTAGCTTGTAACTAAACTTTCCCGTAAGTTTCATTCACACCAACTGACCGGTTTCTTTTAAATATCCGGTGTAGACTGTTCGACCTTAAATTACTTTAATTGGTCCTCACACGCACAACCCACTGTAATATATAATTTTTTTTTTTCATAGCCACTTCCTGTTCTTGATTTTAGTTATGCCTTATGTTTAGCTTATCCATTAACCATGGATGAATTATTTCCCCCATGCATTAACTATAGTAATGCTTTCCCACAGTCCACCACTTGCTCATTCATTGTTCACCCTTATCACTGTTTATTTGTAAATTATCATTAATC